ATGAAAAGGATCAGGAAAATCTTGATTTAGGACATGGTGTTCTGAAAGCCCAGAGGAAAGGGAGAAAGAGAGCCAATCAATGCGTTAAAAGTGTTTGCCTAGAAACACGGGAGTATAGATGACTCCGATTCACAGAGGCCTCTCTCACACTGAGATGGGTGCACAGGCAGTGAGGAATGGGGGAGTTGTTGGAAGGTCTGATCGGAGCAGTGGTGGAGTAGGGAGTGGAAGGTGGACCAAAGGGAAATCAGTTAGTGGCACTTCTCCTTTTTCTGGCAGCTCCCTTCTGCTCCAACCTTGTGTGGTTTTATGATTGTCAACCACAGCACTCTGAATCTAGTGACAGAGGAAAGCGTGCATCCATCTGCCAGGCGGAGTGTGCGATTCCACCAGCCAATGCACAATCTAGGGGTGGTCATGGGTTCCAACCTCACCAATGAGAACCTTTTCTTCCAGCTGTCTATGTGGATGGGGCCAGGAAAATCCCTTTGCTCTCTGATTATGTGGAAGCCATAACTACAAAAGGATATCATCCCTACTATGTGGAGAAGCCCAAGGGAATAAAGATGGGGGGACAGGGAAGATGGCAGGCTATTGTGGCCCCTCACAGAGACAGCGCCATCTGCTTTCTAGTTCTAGTTTTTGAGTAGAAGAACCAAAGGAATTCCTTTACAGATCTTATATCCTAAGAGATCTATGCATCCATATGGAGAAAACCCTCTATACTGACCTAATTCAAGCAGGTACCAATGGTGCCACAGGGATAGGATGAGACATATCAATGTTTTGTCACTCAGAAAGCTATGCAGAAAAATTATCAGCCAAGGAGGAGAGTTAAAGCCAAAGCAGGCATCAAGATCTAGAGGTCACGGAGATGGCTGGTGTACTCTCCACCACTCCCTGACTAGAAACACGTATTGGACACTCAATCCAGTCAACCCGGTCTCTTCTTAAAAGCCTTCCCATCTGCCATGTTGGAGTCCCTCACCCTTCTCCCACTCCCTCCCAGTGAAAGGCTGCCTGTAATGCAGGGGACTGTGGGAGGTGGCTATTCTTCCCTGGAGGGCCACCAGCAGATCAAGGAGAGGAAGGGCCATTAGAGTGAGGTGACAAGTAGCAAATATGAAGCATGGCTCAGGGAGAAATTAGAAAAATAGCTTGAAATGTCCTTGAATTAACCTGTTAAAATTTTTATAGTGAGTCCAGTACATATAAATCTCTTTTTTAATTGTTTTGATTTTCCATATCATCTGTTTAGATAATGATATAAAAAATATTTTTGTTGGGGATGCAAATCAAGTCAAGATGGCACCTGGCAGTTTGCCAGGAGAAGTGGTTTGTTAGGCAACGCCACCGAGCCATTAAGATGGTGGGGATTCCTTACTGGCTGATTGCTGTATCTGGATGATGCTAATTGAGTCAAGCTGTATGTAATCAGGTATATATACCCCTGCTGCTCCATAATAAAGCAGTTCCTGCTTCAACCTTCAAGTTGCTTGTCACCTCCTGGTTATTTTGCCCAGCCAGACTGTGGCATCTTTTTATTCAGGAAAATATTTTTATCATTAAAATCTAGAATATAAAGACCTTGTTTTACCCAAAGATGATTTCTTTCTTCTTTTTAGGACCTCCAATGTGTGTTTCCTCTCTGTTGAAGCATCTTTTTCTTCTAGAATTTTTTCTGGTTATACTTTGGAACAATTTTTGAAAATCTTAGAATCTAAATGAATTATTGTACTTTGATAAGAAATATCAATGAAAATATAGTGAAAGTTCTTAGATATTTCTGTAGACAGAATTATATTTGTTTATCATCTTATAAAAATTTGTATAATTACTTTGAAAATTAGAAATTACTTGAAAGTTGTATTCTCTTTTAAAAGCAAATTTATAGTAAAATACATTTATCTCAAATATCTATAACTAAAAGGCAGAGTATCAGATAAATATACATATAAAACATACAAATTATGGGTTTTCTGTTGAAGAAAAACAATTAAACAAATATATATATACTAAACAATTAGACATATATGCTAATTATTTTATAGGTTAACAACTATAGGTTATTTAAATACCTAGAAAATATATATATTAAGAATAAAGGCATAATTTATAATTGTATTAACTTTATATAACCACGTGGTTCTTAAAATCTTTGGATCCATTTTAATTTATTTTTAATTAGGAGTGCACTCTTCTATGTGAAGTCACTTGATGTAACTGAAATAAGATATTTATGTATACATTTTTATTTCTTGTAATCATATAGTCAGGAATGAGAATAAGAATTTTTTTGTTCATCACAGAAACATTGCCAGCTTTTGTTCCTATGGCGAGCAAATGCATCCCCATAACCTCCAAAATTAAAGGTAAAATATAAAGAAGTATGTCTAGTATCTCTCATCAATAGAACATTATTTAGTAACACAATTATAGAGAAAAGTCAGGTTATTTAACTCAAAACTAACTCAAATTTAGGGCTGCAACACAGAAACCTGTGGAATTAATATTTTGCCTGAAAAAGATATTTTTCGTTAGCATTTACAGGTTGACATTCCTAAAAATGTACAGCTCAGGTAGCAGCTCAGGCAGGTCTGAAACAGGAAGTACAGGTTAGTGGCTGGAAGGCGGGACCAGAAGTCCTGTCTGAGAGACTGTGGAAGAACCAATGGGAAGCCCAGGAAAATGCAGGAGGCAGGACCAGGAAGCCCCCCCTGCGGACAGGCATCACCTGGTTACCAAGATGACGGAAACAGCATGGAGCCTGTTGCCCATTGTCGGGGCAAAAGTTCCCTGAGTTTTCCGAGCTGGTGGCATTTGGTTTCGTCTGCATTCCCCACCTGGTCAGGATCCTATGGCGAGTAGCAGCTTGCCTTGTCTCTGTGACCTGCGGTTGCAGCTTGTGTCTGCTGGTATTTTGTACTTTTTTTTTTTTTTTTGTAGCATGTGGGTGCTTTAAAAGTGAGTTTTAGTGGCAGATGCCAGTGTTACTATCAGATCTTAAAGGAGTCTGCATTTAGGTCAGGTCATTTAAGGGTTAAAAGCACTGCTGGCCGTGGGACTAGTTACAGACTAGTTTAACATCACAGATTTTCCTTCTGTCTAATTCACTTACCTTCTACAATTCATCCCACAATACTCTTCAATCCTAAGCATGCTTAACTTCTGGATAGAACTTTTAACTCACTAAATTTTTAATATTTATACTGGAGTCCCCGTATGGGCCACCATTTGTGGCTTTCTTTCCCAGCGACTTAAACACTCAGACCTTGTGCCCAGCCAGGGACGCCACTTGCCGGGTTCTTCATGACTAACACACTCAGGGGTCACTCCAGGGGAACTGGGCTACATGAAATAACCACACAAGAGACAGAAATACCTTTTTCTTTGGGGTTGCTGTGACGGCTCCTCTGACATTAAGAGTCCACAGAAAGAGAAAAAGAGAGAGAGGGCCCACACATGCCAACCCCTTTTATTGAGGAGAAACTATTCAAATGAGGCAAGGGGTCAGGTTTCAGGGGGCTGAGTCTAGCTTCATGATGTCTGCTATCAGCAGGTTGACTGACATCTAGGAAGGCCACACCCAAGGGCCCAGTAAGAGAAGGAGACACACAAAATGTGTTTCCATAGAACATTCTATCCTAAACAGGGCAAGGGGTTATATTACAAAGAAACAGGTGAGCATAGCTCCTCCCATGGGGATGTAGAAAGGCACACCCTTGCAGAAGACACAGTCCCTCAAACCCGAGAAGGGCAGGGCTGTCTAGCAGCATAGGTGTCGCCTGATGCCACATCACCCTGCAGGGAAGTTAACTCAGTCACGTGTGAGGTTGGTCTCCCACAACTAGGTTGCTCAGGCTGACCTCAAACTTGCAATCCTCCTGCCTTGGTACCTGGTGTCACTGAGATCACAGCGTGCACCACAATGCCCGGTGAATATTTGCATTTTTATAAGATAGAAACAGTATTTGTGTGGGAGGTGATTGTAAAGAGGGAAGAGAACAAAGGCAGAGAGGCCAGTTGGGAGATGGCTGCAGTGACCCACTAGCGGAGATGGAGGATGGGCGGAGACAGAGCCAACCAATGGAGAGTGCTCTGGCCATTGGATGCACTTGATTCTACTCCCTCTTCTCACTGTTCTCACACTTGCTCCTCTGCCCAGTACTTCTGCTTCATGGGGAAGAATGTTGGTTTGTTTGTTGGCTTGGGAGATGTAGGACACAGAGGCTGGGTCACTCTCTGCATCTTCAACCTGGTTCTAGGACAGAGTTTTCTTTTGAAAATTTGACAGTTGTACTTCATATCAATTTATCCAAAACCATTTTACCAAGCCAGGCATGATAATACACACCTACAATCCCAGCAACTCCAGAGGCTGAAGCAGGAAGATCACAAATCCAAGGGCAGCCCTGCAACTTAGTAAGGCCTCAAGCAACATAGCAAGACCTCATCTCAAAATAAAAAGGGCTGGGGAAGTGCCTCAGTGGTAAAGCACCCTGAGTTTAATCCCTGGTACCAAAAATTAAAATAAAGTCATTTTACTTCATGATCGTTTCTAACCTTAGTCTCCTTTTCAATGGGTATTTTTTTCCTTCATTTTTTCAATGTCCAGTTTGGGGTTTATCTCAGTCACAGAATTTTTAAATCAGTTCTTGAAACAGTCAATTAAAGACTTTTTAATATACCTTTATAATTCTAATAATCAATTTTACAGTATCTCATGACTGAAGAAAGTTTTTTTTTTAATTTTTGGGTGACTCCCAGTGCCAGTAAAAATGCCATTTCATGTGCATTTTGTATAAATGTTAAGAACTTCAGCTAGTTTTCCCTAAGATGTATCTTTGAATTTTAGTTTTTATTTTTAGGACATCAGAAGATGTCCTAAAAAGGATCTAGTTTATTTTTTGTTTTGGGTTTCTTCGTCACCTGATTTAAGGCCAACTTACTTTAGCAACATGGCTGTTGGAAAGCCTGCTTGGGCGTGGAACCCGACTCACCATGGACGCAGAGTCTAAAATCTTTCTTCTGGGATTTTCCTGTGTTGTATTTGATTTCCGCTACATACAGTCCACTCATTTCCACGGTGAGATTCGAAATGTTCAAAATATACTCCTCAGTCAGGCAGAATCTGTGCTTGTATTTGTCTTCAAATTCGTACCACTCCGGACCCGAGGGCTTCCAGGACACCAGGAGCTGCTGCTGCTCGGCCTCAGTATTCCACTTCCACTCTATCTCCCGGATGTCAGGGCTCAAAGTGTGGTTCAGGGGCAACTGAACAGATTCCCCCACGACCCTGTTCAAGGTGCAGGAAGGGCCGGGGTCTCTGACAGTCTGGAAACCTGCTAAAGGAAGAGCTGAGTTAGCAAAAGAAAACAGCACGTTGTATCTGCACATGGATTTCACGTCACATGGATATTTACAGAGAGGGAGCCAAAGTTGCAGAGGGGACTCCCTTGGGTGTTGATCTTGCCTAGAATGTGGCAGTTTTGATTCCAGCCACATGTCTGTCCCCCTCCTGGACTCTGGCTCTTTCCTTCTCTTGCTGAGGTGCAAAGACAACAAGCAGGGCGGAGCTTCTATTTCTATCCCATGGAGCTTCTAATTTAATAAATGAAAACGGTTCAAATGCAAGCTTGCACCCAACAGGGGCCTTGGTCTAATTCCAGGAAAAGGAAATTGACAATATCAAAGTTGGTAAATGATACTCCAACAGTCCATTTGTCTAAAGCTTGTTTCAGCTTTCTCTGCTGCTGACATTTTTCCTCAACCCACTGCAGTGTGGCCTCTGGCCTGACAGTCCTCTGAAATTGCCCTGGATTAGGTCACTAATAAACCCTTATTTATCAAATCCAGTTTTCACTCCTCAGTCGTATTCTTCTGACATTTGACATGTGACTAGTTTTCTCTTTCTTGAAGCTCCGCTTGTTTGGTACAAATGTTTATCCCTTGGGCTCTCAGCTCAACTTCATTTAAAAAAATGTTTCATGCACTTTGCACTGTTGAGGTTGCTGGGAGGTGAGGACAAGCAAGCAGAGCAGATCTCTGTCCCCATGGGGATTTTGTTTGAATAAATTGCAAGTGAAGACAAAAAATAATTTCAGATATTTTAAGTGCAATGAAGAAAATTTTAAAAATGCAGCACAGATCCCTTGCCTAGCACTAAAATTTCTCAAAAATCTGAGAATTTTCTGCCTGATAAGTCAGAGACTATCTCCTACTACAGAAGCTTAAAATGCCAGACACTCATAGATAAGACAGATTCCTTCACAGATAAGACAGCACACAACATATGCTTCCCAATCACATGCACCAGACCCAGACTTTCAAATGCAAGCTAGTCACATCAAAAGAGCAAGGCCACAAGCTCTGTACTGCTGATGTGAAACCCACACAGCAGTCAGACCTGAAGCAATGGTGACAACTGTTTTGGAGCAGGGCAAGTGTCCAGGTCCATGACACTGGAGTGTGAGCTGTGAAGTCTCTGCCAGAAGGGACAAGCCAACTTCTACTGGACCAGCTCTGATGGTGTGACTTGGGATGTGGTTCCTGGATGAATAGTCTCAAAGCCTAGTCATTTGGGCCCTCAAAGATCGGAGGACACTTGCTAGTCTCTGATGCACATTTCCAATTAGTCCGCTGATTTCTGTTGTTTGGAAGAACCCTGATGAACACTTAGGATAACGTGATGGAATAATGGTGGTTTGGAGGAGTTACAGGGTGGGAGTTACTCATCAAGATAGGCCCCTAGGAAGGGTCAATTACACAGGGTCATGAAGGATGACAGGGAATGTTCTGGACAGAGGAAGAGTGTGTACAAAGGTTCCAATACAGAATCTAGCTTGACCTGTACATAGAATGGAAAGAATAACCATGGCTGGAGCAGATTGACTAAAGAAGAGATCTGAAGACCCGAGACTGAGAGTCAGGAAAGGTTTTATGAGGATCGGAAGTTTGGATTATGAGCTCAATAGCAAAATATCAGATGAGCTTTATAGAGTGATATCACAAGATCCGCATTTTTAATGATCACTTCAGAATAGATACTCTAGGGATAATGATTTCCCAAGAGTGGAAAAAGGGGGGCCGTGTATAGAGCTCAGTGGCAGGCCACTGGACATCATGCGTGAGGCTCCAGGTTCAATCCCTGGCACCTCAAGAAAAGGGAAAAAAATGGAAACAGTGGGGAAGGGTTACAGTTAAGAGAACTTTTCAGTAGAGTATGAGAAGAGTAGTGGCAGGGAAGGGGAAGAAGAAGAGGAATTCAGGGAAAAAAATACATCTGGACTATTGACTGTAAAATCATTCACATATTCTCTTATAATCTATTTAACTTCTCTAAAGTTGGGGAATATGGCCACACTTTATGATGTGAGTTTAATTCTTTCTATGTCCTCTCTTTTTTTCTTAGATTAGCTAAAGGTTTGCCAAATTTGTTGACATTTTCAAGGCACTAACTTGGGGATTCATGGATTCTTATGTCATTTATCTCTGCACTATTTCTTTCCTTCTGCTGCTTTTGCCCCAAATGCCTTCAACTCCAGCTTCCAGCCTCACTCTGCCCTACCTCAGCACCAAGCCAGCTCTACACCCTCAGGCTCCAGGCCTGCCCAGAGCCAGGCTGGCCTCAGTGGCCCCAGGCTTCAGTCCTGCCTCAGTGTCAGGCCACCCCAAGTCCCCAGACTCCAGGACAGCATGGAAAGCTCAGGCCTGCCACTGAAGCCCCAGGACATATACCTACTCCTATAGACCAAGCCTCCAGCACAGTCAGTTCCAGGATGGCCCCTGAAAGCCCATACTTCAAGCCAAGGCCCACAGACTCAATCTCCAGATCCACCCCAGAATCAAGCTGGCACCTTATGCTCAGAGCCAGGCATAGCCCAGGTCCTAGATTGAAACCCCTAAAGATTCAGCCTCCAGATCCACCTCTCCTCCTGGCCAGCCCCATTGACCCAAGCTCCGGACCAACCCCACTATCTGACAACATCCCTAGCTCCTTCCCTGCTTAAGTGCCAGCCCACCCAGGAAAACCTAGATAATAGGCCAGTAACTATAGACCCAGCCACCAGCATGCCCCAGCTCCAGGTTGTCTCTTACTATCCCAGACTTTGAGATGGCACCCACACAACCAGCTCCAGAATGACCCCCACAGACCCAGGCTCAAGACCAGCCCATGTGCCTCCAAGTACCAGGTCAGCCTCACTAAGCCAAGGCCCAGACTGCTCCACTGCCCCCCCCCCCAACCAGAGACTCAGGGTCAAGGCCCACTGCAGTGCCAGGCCAGTCCCTGAGGACTCGGGATCCAGGCCCATCCCCATGGACCCAGCCACCAGTGCCTGTTCCAATGTCAGGTCAGCGCCTATACACCCAGGCTTCAGGCCAGCTGCCACAGATATGGGCTTACAGACCTCCCCCATGGACCCAGTGAAAGGTCCATCCCAAGGGATGCTAGCACAGGACAGCTCCCATAAACCCAGAATCCAGGCCTTCCCAAACCCTAAGCCCTAACTCATGAACCCAGGCATCAGGCCAGCCTGCTCAAGGACTCCAGCAGCCAATCCACACATGGGCCCCACCACATGACCTGCCCAGACCTCTGGGACAGATTACCATTCCAGGGCTTTCCCTGCTGAAGCTAGTCTGTGAAAAACTGGACGACAAGCCTACTTCTTCAAATGTGAAGACTCCAACGCATGGCCACAAGGATCATGAGCCACAGCAAAGGGAATTAAGGGGAAAAAAACAAAACACAAATAACAGATCCTAAACAAATGATGATTTACAAACTACCTAACAAATAATTAATCAACCTAAAGAACTTCAGTGAGCTTTAAGTGAGCACAGATAGCTGGGCATGGTGGTACACACCTGTAATCCCAGGAACTCAGGGGGCTGAGACAGGAGGATTGAAAGTTCAAAGCCAGCCTGAGCACCTTAAGCAAGGTCCTGAGCAACTTAAGAAGACCCTGTCTCAAAATTAAAAATGGCTGAGGATGTAGCTCAGTGGTTAAGCACCTCTGGGTTCTTCCCTGGTAGCAAGAGAGAGAGAGAGAGAGAATGCAGATAGATAGATAACTAACAAAATTTCAGAGGTTGAAAGAGATAGAGAAGCCATTAAAAAAAGGAAGGGAGAGAGTGAAAGAACCAAAAATTCTGAAACTAAAGAACTCAATGACTAAACTGAAAAACTCTATAGATAGCACCAATAAAAGAGTCAATCAGTGAGGAAATAAGAAAGAACCAGTAAGATTGAAAACAAGTTATTTGAAATTACCTAGTCAACCAAACAAAAAGACAACAGAATAAAGAGAATCAACAGGAACTGTGAGATTACCACCAAGGAACTAGTATATGCATTACGAGTGCCCCAGAGGAACACAGAGTAAGAAAAAAGGAAAAGCTTATTTAAAGAAATAACTTTAATAAGTATATATCCAAAGGATTTAAAATCAGCATACTACAGTGACACAGAAACATCAATATTTACAGCAGCACAATTCATAAGAGCTAAGCTATGGAGCCAAACTAGGTGCCCTTCAACAGATTAATGGATAAAGAAAATGTGGTATGTATACACAGTTGAGTATTAGCCCTAAAGAAGAATGGCTTTATGATGTTTGCCAATAAATGGATGGATCTGGAAACTATCGTGCTAACTAAAATAAGCCAGTCCCAAAAAGCTAAAGGCTGAGTTTTCTCAGATATAGCACACAATAAAGGGCAGGGGGGGTAAAAAAAAAAAAAGAAGAATAGAAGATCAGTGGAGTAGACAAGGGGAATGAACAGGGGAAGGGAGGAAAGATGGATCAGAGAAGACAGTGAAATGAATCTGACATAACATTCCTATGTACATATACGAATATACCACAGTGAATCTCACCACTGTGTACACCTACAAGAAATCAAATTTTAAAAAATAACTATGGATAAGTGGCAGAACAATCAGTAGAGTAGAGGGAAGGGAGCAGGGGAGGGGGAAGGGAAGGAGAAGGAGAGGTACACGGTACTGAATTAGAACAGGATATATTCCATGCTCTTATAATTATGCCAAAAAGGAATCTATTGTTATATATAACTAAAAAGAACCAGTAAAAATAAAATTAAAACAAAAAAAAAGAAATAATGACAGAAAACTCCCAAATCTGGAGAGAAAATTGAACATCCAAAATCATGAAGCCCAAAGAACTCCAAATAAGTACAGATCTCCATTGACACATATTATAATTAAATCCTCAAAAGTAAAAAACAAAAGAAAAATTGGAAAGCAAGAGGAGAAAAGAAAATCATCACATAAAAAGGAAAATCCATAAGAGTACCCATAAAAATATATCTGTCAGAATATTTT